GGGGGGGGTTATTTAAGGAATATAATCCCCCCGTGGGACTGCGAAAAGACTGGCGCCGCTTCTCGCCAACTCAACCCAACCGCCACGCCCTGCCACGCCCGCCACGCCCCGCCACACCACGCCCCACCACGCCCCGCACTGGGCTAGCAAAGGCGAGCAAGGCCAGGGCGAGCAGAGGGGTGCGCTGTGCGCCGTGCGCTGGGCCGGCAGCAGGGTTGGGTTGGGGTTATCGCGTCAGAGGGAAACATTTGCACTTATGGCTTCCTGCACCGTGTGGCTGGAGAGACCCTTGTCACGAGGAGAGAGGGGGAGTTGGGGGAGCGCGCTTGTCAAGCAGCTATACCACTCCAGAGCGTGTTATGTTGTGATCAGGGGTGATATTGTGAGCCTTACCCCCCACCCTCACCACTTTATCTATCTCTCTCTCACGTGCGCTCTATGGTTGGTATTGTAAGGACCTATTGCCACAACGACTTTACTGTGCCACGTTTGTATTGATAGTTACGTGGCTCCGACCTACATTTACTTTACTCAATGTACCCTCAGCAATAATGGATGGTTTTTATTCTCCAATTTTGTTTTCATTTAATTCTTTAAACTTAAAGCAGTTTTAACCTTGCTTGACGCACTTCGTAGTGCAGTTTTGTCTTTCGGCGAGCGTGTAGGACGGACAAGTTTACAAGAACGCGCGCTGGAATGAACTAAAAACATTTCTTGACTGAAAAAACGCAAACTTCTGAAGTAATTTCAGAGCTAAGAGAGCCATGGCAGGGGCAGGCCTGCCTGGGCAAGCTGAGCCTCCTTGTGGCAGAGGCCTGGTGGGGGCCCGACGGAACAAGCGACACGTTTTTGGAGCGAGGTGGCGCGCGGGAGGCCTTGGCAGCCAAGTCAGCCTGCGCGCGGAGGGTTTTCGAAGGGGTGGTGTCCCCTTCGGCCTGCAGATGGCGTAGCCTATCTGCTAGCGCAGTGTCACCTCCTTATCCTCAGAGTTACCACACAAGAAAAGTTGGTTTCAAACCAAGAAACGAGGAACAGAACTAGTAACCAAATACAAAGCTTGATGTCACGATCCATCCCGCATCCTAGTAGTAAACGCTCAAACAGTGACTAATAGCTGCCTTTGCTTGTCTGTTGTCCCAGGTGCCGGCGCGCTGCGGCTGCTAGAGCTGAGGGTGCCACCACACACCGTGGCCCGCCTACCCGTCCAGCTCGAGTGCCGCTTCGACATGGAGGGCGAGACGCTGTACTCCGTCAAGTGGTACAAGGATGGCCACGAGTTCTACCGCTTTGTGCCCACTGACACCCCCAAGCAGTTCAACTTCCAGGTGCACGGCGTCCACGTCTTGGTAAGTACCCGCATTCCCTCAATAACGGCAATGCCAACCGGCCTTTGTAGCTAACTGCTGCTCTCTGTGTTTCGAACCTTCCGAACCGCTCTAAACGAGTGAAACCTGGCTCTAACGTAAGTGTGCCTCCTAAGGAGTAACGACACCGCCAAGTTGTTTCTAATTCATCGACTACCCCCTCCCCCGACTTCCTCTCTATGCTCAACTCGGACCATAGTGTGTAGGGTGGGGGAAGAGTCGTATGGAATGAGTTAACCACGTTATGCCTTTGTCGTCTGTCTAGCTCCCCCCCCCCCCCTCCCCTTTTCTCTCTCGCCCCCCGTCTGCCTTCCTCTCGACGTTGAATATTTGAGGCCCCCTGGCATTCACATAGCTACAAAGCAAGGCTTGTTGGACGCTAATGCGCTGCGCCCGCGCTCCCTCGCTTGCCTCGGCCCGTGCTCACGCAAGTCCTCCCCCTGTGAAACGAAACGCGTGCAGATACGCCCATCTTTGGGCAAATCCTTGCACAACCCCTGCACTGAGAGTGCAGGTTTTGTGGCTCTGGAACTGGCGACTAATTTTGCTACGGTTACACCACGTCAATATCGCGTTCGAGCCCCTTGGGTGCGAGGAGGGGTGGTTAAGGCATAAGTGGAGAAATGCGTACCCGATTTTATTTTTTGATTGCAATTTGACAGTGAGCTTTTCGATTTAGAGACGTATGCTAAATCATTTAGAATTCCTAAACTAGAATCACCCTCAGATTCCTTTGAGGTTTTTTGTTTCTTGCGATAAACAATTCTGTGCAATGGTAATGGTAATAATGTATCCCAAATTGTGATCAATTTGCTCATTCCGAAAATATTTGGGAATATCTGAAAATGCGCACTTAAGCACTTCCAAAACAATCGCACCTTTGCGTTTCCAGTGTACTCTGTCAACTCACATGTGTACATTGTCTACAGAAATGGAATTAGACATGGTATGTCTACATAAGTGAAAGTAGACATATTCATGTCACCATTAAAGGAAGGAAACATGCACAGCACTTGGGTTCGTAGCCTACGGACTATTTCGTAGTATTTCTTTTGCCATTTCGGTTATTTCTTGCCTATTTCGGATTATTTCGCGGTATTTCGGAGTATTTCGGGTCTATTTCGCTCTATCTCGCTTTTAATTCGGACTATTTAGAGGGAGGGTGTGCGGACTACTTCGCAGGTGATTTCCCCCTTGACATGAACATGTCTACATTGAAAAAGATACACACGTAGTCCGCAGTGTCTACTTTATTTAATTGTAGACAATGTACACATTTGAGCTGACAGACCAACAAATTTGTTTGCTGTTCCACAAAAACGATTTTATAAAAAAAGTAAATAGGATATCAACAATTTGTTATTTAACTCTAGAACGGTTCATATCTTATCTACAAATGCGTTGATAGTTAACCAACGCAAAAGTCACTAGCGAGCGACTGAGAGTGAAGTCAGCAGGAATATTTTGTTTTTGTTCACCCTGGAAATCACCCCTACCATTAAAAACGCTCTTGTGCGGTATTGTACAATGCTTCCCTCGAATCTTGCAGATGAACAACTCGACGGAGACGCTAGTGGTTTTGCGGAACGTGACGCTGGCCACGTCCGGACGCTTCCGCTGCGAAGTGTCTGCGGAGGGCCCTTCTTTCCAGACCGTCTCGGACCACGGCGATATGACCGTTGTCGGTGAGTAAACAAAGCAATGCGTGTTGGACTGGAAATTTGAATACTGTAAAATGTTTCAAAGTATATTTGAAAACTTAAAAATGTCCAAAGCTGCCTAAGGGTTGCCAGGCGGGGGCCAAGGCGACTGAGTAGGGTAACCCTGGCGGCCCAGGCGACTGGGAAGAGTTGCACAGCGGCTCAGGCATTTGTGTAGGGTTGCCCAGGTGCCCATATTATCTTCTAGAGTCAATATTCAACGGCTATTAGTCAACAATCGGTTAGAATAGCTCATCTAGTGATTACAGAAACAAATTACACTGTTAGAAATTTCCACGGAATTTTGAACGGAATTGTCAAGAAAAAAATTTTCACGGAATGTACCGTAATTTTTCCGTATTTTCTACGGAAACAATACGGAGAAACCGTAATTTTAAGTTACGGATAAACCGTAAGATTTTCCGTAAAATTTTGACTTATTGATTAGGGAAAATAATAAATTGCACTGTAAGTCGAAGAATTGGTTTTTGAGAGATACGAGAGCGTAAAGTTATGGTTTTGCGAAAGAGGCAATAATATAAATCTCTATGGACAGCTCAATTGTTAAACTATTTGTTTCAAAAATTATTTAATATTTAATTTGACGGGGAAAATGTACGGGATGCACCGTTATTTGAAATACGGACAAGTCCGTATCTTAAAATTACAGTCATCCCGTACGGTTTGGTACCGTATTTGGAATTTACGGTGAGTTCAGTAAGAATTCCGTAATTAGCCTACGGAATTTCTAACAGTGTAGGATGTATGTCCACCAGCTGGCGCAGAGTGACCCTTATTTTCTGTGCACTTTTCAGTATTTAAATATCCAGTCAAACACTGCATCGTAGTGTTGAGCAGTTGCATGTGCACGCTAGTGCATTCCTTTTAAATCACTGTTCTTATTCATTCGTAAAGAATAAAAGCTACCTGATGTAAGTTTTATTCAAGAATCAGTAGGTGCCTATGACTCATAATGCTCGATTTTCAAGTTTTCCTCAAACGTGTTAAATTTAATGCAGAAGTGAGAATTTGAAAAAAAATAAT